AGGTGTGTAGAGTTCATTCTGCTTGGCGTTTCCACCAAACGGATTAACTGACGGGAAGATGATGAGGCAGAAAGAGAGCAGGAACACCTAGTAGGCAAAACATAAGAATGTGAGAACGAGAGCAGCCAAAAAAAAAAGTGAATATTCTGTCTAGAGACCAAAAAATGGAAACAAATAAGCTAAGAAAACCAACAAATTTACCATAATGCAAGTGCTGGTTGTGCTGGCCTTCATAGTTGACATCTTCACTATAGCCTGAAGTTTCCTCAGCTGTTCGATCAATGATCTTTAAGAACAAGGACACACTTAGATCCCTGAAGCTTCCTTTTAAATTAAATATGTGCATTAAACAATACAAGTAAAGAAAAGTTATACAAGATTTCTTACATGTTTTGTTTCTGAAGCATCTGGACTTTTTTCTGAAGTTCAAGGTTGTGCGCAGTGCAAATGGCAACCCTGTTTTATAAAATCACGTAATTAGCTTTTCAAATGCAAACGCATAAACCAAAACAAAACATCTGAATAACTTAAATCTTTACTGAAACCACACAGCTGGGCTTTACAAGTGGGGGTCTGTGGGCCTGGTGACTTCTGCCCGGCCCAACAGAGACTATTTCAGCAGCCCCCTGAGCAACTTAGTTGAATAGCCCTGCCATACAGACATGATAACTCAATCCTCACCTGTTTTCCAGTCCATCGACATACACTTTCTTCTTCTTGCGGCTCTCCTGAGCAGATTGCTTGTTACGGATCTTCCTCCTGACCCGCTTCAAAGTCCTTTCCTCGGCCTGTTACACAAAGTAAACTAGGCTTTCACCACAGTGTTGACATGACAGGTGAAGATGTGCATGACAACCCTGAAAAACTACAGCAGAAAAATCAAACCAAAAAATAAATAAATAAATAAAAAAGGCAGGGGTGATAAATTTTAAAACATGAAATGAAGTATTATAGAGACGAAATACACAAAGACGCACATGTTCACAAATGGCAAGTTAAAGTTAATACAGAAAAACAAAATCCCAAATTACCTTTGTCAGAGGCATGTGTGTGGGAATGGTAGCACCTTCTTTTGCCAAAAGACGCTTCTCTTCCTCAGTGAGAACGATTTCTTTAAAGTGGAACTAGATAAAAAAAACAAGACAAAACATTGAATGGTTTTGCATGATGCACCAGTCAAAATCTTATGGACTATTATAAAATATAATCATATTTTCTTATGTGTATTTTTGTTATGTTAGCATTAGAAACTGACTTGATCTTCTGTGTCCAGATCTGTTGAATCCTCTACAGAGTTTTCTATGGACAAAGTGCAGGGCAGCTCGTTGCTAATGTCCTCCTCCATCACATCACTCACCAGGTCATCTGTCACATGAAACAGATCATTTTMAAYGAAYGTAATCTTATTTTCAGATCTTCTAGRTCAAATGTGTCAAACTCAAGSCCGGCGGGCYAAATATGGCCCGGTACGGCATTTTATGTAGCACAAGATAGCTTAAAATATGTATTAAACTACAKCTCCCATAATGCATGTTGATTATTTTTTCAGTGTACCACTAGGTGGAGGTGCATAGAGTTCAAATGAAGTCAGTAGCTGGTAGCCAGCGAAATTTGATGTGTAAAATCTACATTTAGCCGCATTTTCGCTAGCTACTTATGTTGCGMCCCAGTTGGACTGGGAAGTAGGAWTTTCCCACTTACACGTCATAAATTTACCTGGAATGCCCCTAATGGGAATTTCCTGACATACAATGGGATAATTCAGAATTCAAGGCAGCAGCTACTTACAACTTAACAGTGAGTAAAACTGTTTTACTTTTAATAGTATTTTTGCATTATTTATTTGACATTTAGTCGGTCGTACACGTAGTACTTTTCACTGTTTTATAGGAAGACATGTTAAAACATGGTTTCTATGCACAAAATACCACATGGAGCTCAGTTATTGCTTGTTAGCAGTGCTCAGCCGTAGCAATGAGACGAGTAACGTGATATTTCCTGTTTAATCCAAGTTAAACACGAAACGTCAAAGTTAATTACAACTGGCCCTTTGAGGGATCATGTGGCCCCGAAAATGAGTTTGACACCCCTGACCTAAGTTGCCAAACACAAAACGTTGTCATATTTGATAAACTCCACAGAATTAACAACACATACCCAAGTCGATGAAGACATCCATATCTGGCTTCTCGGCCCGCACGCTCTCCAGCACRTCCATGTCCCTGGCTCCAGTCTGCAGCAGGGAGTAGCTGTGATCCGCATGGACTGTTAAGGCCTCAAAGCTCTCGGCCTGCAACTCTGCAGAGGTCAAAGCAGGATCTGAATGCACCGGGCTAGGGTGTGAGTAGGACGGGCTGGGTACAACATCACTTTCACTGCCATGAGGACTCGGGCATCCCAGGACATTGTTGTTTCCAGCCCCTGTGCTGCTGTCGTCAGATATGCCACTGTCACTCCCCACTGGAGAGTGAGAAGGACAGAAGGCCTCCGTTTTATCCTCTACGTCCAACAAGCTGGACAGAAAATCTTCAGTGTCCAAACCTGTCAGCATCTGAAAGACAAAAAAAGAGAGTTGAAGTCTAAAGAAAACGCCACAAGCAGAATCATTTAGAGTTTTCCTATTTTGGGGATTCTTACATCTTGCTCAGACAGCCAAGCATCAATGAGGCCATTCTCATCAGGATAAAAGGGCTCCGTGAATCCATCCTCTCCATTGTGGAACAGCAGCCCTAACAGGTCTGCTCCGTCCATGTCTGAGAGGTCTTCAGAAACAGACATCTAAAACAAAACAAAGAAAAATAAATAAAAAAAAGTTTTATTACAATGGTATCTTGGATCATATGACAACGTGCTTGCACAGACCAAAAACGATGACATTTTTGTTGATTTGATTTTTGGGACATCTTCTTTTTGTTTCACAATTTGCAGTTCGGAAATGTTATTGTATACTCATTATGGTGATCCCATTGACTTTATTAACAAAATCATAAAAATAGGAATTGTTCAATTTATTCAGTCATTTTTAGGATGCAATTTAATGTGCTGTGGGGATGTCATTGCTGTGTTTGCATTTTAAAGCAAACAATGAAGACTGTGTTATTGGTTGACAGTCTCAATGGATTCCATTTATATGGTATCACTGCTTACTCAGCTACTATTACGCTGAGGAGACAAAGGGGCTTCCTTGTGCTTGGTGGTGAGTTTTTGAGAGACACGTGGCAGCTTGAGGAGAATCGTGATTTATGGTTTTATTTCTTGTGTGTTGTTTTTGTTTGTTTATTTATTTCAAATGTAAATATTGAAAAATTGATTATGCTTCCCCTGAAACGTCCGGTATTGCATCACTGGTAGATTTCATCATGACCTCATTCTTAATGAGCCCCGCCCCCATCAGCCTTCTTTGTCATGTGATCTTCACAATATCCAGTATCAAAACAAATAATGTAATCATTAGGGTCAAAATGGAAATTAAATGCGATTAACTGAAAACAATGTTAAATACAGATGAAATGCAAAATACTGCTGGGTGTCTTTTGTATAATGAAAATTGTTTTTTTTTTTTTTTAACAGAACAATGGTGTCTTTGAGTGTAACGTTAAATAGCTAAAGAAAATCGCCTGCTAAAGAAGCCGCAAGCCGTATGATTCATGGTCAAATAATGTAAACTGAAACAGGAAAAGCAGAAAACGTCGGCATCGACGGCTGTGCTCCTGATTAAAAAAATCAACTAACCACACATCATTTTGAGGGCGTGGTCCCTCGTATTATTAAACAACCGCCGACAAATATTCAGAAATAGTTCGCTTAACTTATAAGTATTCTCACCGTTTGGTGACAGAAGAGAATATCCAACTCAAATGAGTGCGTCCAGGTGTCTCTCGAATTCTCAACTCAGCTATTTCCTTGAGGACGTCTGCAGTTCGAACACTTCCTTGTGAAACCACCTTCCAACGAGGCAAAAAACGCGTCATCACGTAAAGGCGGAAACGAGTTCAGTACGTGACCTTCTCAAGGGGTTCTGGGAAATGTAGTAAAAGACCACATTTCATCATTAACCTCATTTATGGAATCATATAAGAACGGTCCGAGATGAAGCATTTAAAACAACTTTGTTAAAGTAATAATCATCAGAAAATATAATAAATAAAAATATGCAATTACTATTTTGGTTATCTTGAACATATTTGTTGTTAAAATAGTTTTAATCTGTTTGCATTATTTAGCCATATTTTGCTGTAAAAAGGAAACAGTAGTATAAAACAAATATAGATATTAATGCCAGTGAATAAAGCTTATTTTGGATGTATTTACTGATAAGAAGTGGTCAGTAGTTATGTAATTGTAAAGTACGAACAAATTTTTAAATCCTAACGCCACTCTAAATTATACACAAATAAAACTAATATAAACCTTATGTAATGAGCCAACACTGTTTAAATTGTACATTAAAATTTATTTCAGGCTGTGCATTAGTACAGACATGACGTAAACAACTTAAATACATTGTTAATTTGTTTCAGCAGTACCTGAAAAATATACTTTTGCCACTTGAACCAATAGTTTTAGTAGCAGATATCTCAGCAGTCCAAAGCTTAATTTCATTTACTAGCTTTTTCAAGCCAAAATGAAAAACAAAAATGTCACCAGTCATACCATCTCACAGAGATACATCTTATAAGATGCAAAATCTCCATTTGTATGATCATAAACATCAATGAAATCAGTTTATTAGATTTCATATTTCAATAAAAAATCTAAGGCATTTGAGGAAAGTGCAAGTAAAGATTAAAGACAAAACATTTAATGTTTAGTGTCTATATTTCGCTAGTTTTTCAACTTATCATGCTTCTAGTTTCGTAGCTTATTTCTACTATATTATGATTTTAGAGTCTGTTATTTCTGCCCAGAGGCGGAAATATCTGCTATATATGTTGTAAACTAATTCTGTATGCCATCTAATCATTACACTGATTTAAATAAATCATTACAATTCAATATTTTCCAAAATCCTGTTAATAAAACAGTCAATAATGATCAAATTACAGCAGCATTCTCACAGAGACTACATTTCCTTACAAGAAGAGAGACACTAAAGTAAGAAATCTCCAGTTTCAAGAGCTGAATGAGTTTGAAGTGCCATTACTTTATTTATACTACTGGATTGAAAAGCCTTTAAATGGAATCCATGCAGTTTCATCCCAGATGATAAAACCGTTTCACTTCCAGAGCGGAGCCAGCTTTTTCTGTTACAGAATCACACAGAGTTTGGAGGTGTGCTGTAGAGTTCTGTACGCTTTTAGTCGTTCCTTTTTGTTTGTCGTCTTCGGTGCAGCTTTCTGTGTGAGGGCGGGTGCGTTCTCAACAGCTCGTCTCTTTTGAGCCCGGTGCAACAGGATTCGATAGACTCCAGTGATGGAGCTCCTGCAGTCTTTCCCCTGGTTGTTGAGGATGTGCTCTGGAGTGATTCCTAGTGTTTCTAGAGCTGCCTTTACCTCCAGCTCCTCCTCCAGCAGTTCAGATGGATCACTCTCAGCTAGATATGAAGGGTCTAGTTTAAAGGGCTTCATGGCACATGGGAATTCCACGGGGAGCAGCCACTCACAGCCCATCATCTGCTCCACCGTGTAGCGATCAGATGGTACGACCTGAAGGATTCCTCTGATGAGCCTCTGGCACGCCTCTGGCACCCAGCTGGGCAGCACGTAGGCCCCGTCCATGATGCACCGCTTCAGTTTGGCCACGGTGTCGGCCCTGAATGGCATGGTGCACGTCACCATGAAAAACAGCATCACCCCAAGGGCCCAGATATCTACGAAAACGCCAACGTAATGCTCATCCCGAAAGAGCTCTGGTGCAGCATAAGGCGGAGAGCCACAAAAGGTGTTGAGTGTCTCATCGCGGCGGCTCAGCGTGCTAAATCCAAAGTCCCCCACTTTGACACAGGTGCTGCTGGTGTAGAAGACATTTTCTGCCTTCAAGTCACGGTGGATGATGTTGTTCTCATGCTGCGAGAGATCAAAAGAGAAGATATATCCTTTACCAGTTTTGCAGAAATTGATGTCTCATTTTATACTCTGTTACAATACAAAATGTCACATTCAAGCTTCATATAAATGATTGCATTTTGAGATGAGCAATTCTACTCAAATCTACTTTTTCATTATAAACTGATACGCACTGACCATGTGTTTGACAGCAGAGAGGATCTGAGCAAAGACGAGCTTGCTTTCAGTCTCAGGAAGTTTTCCTTCTGTAGTAATCTTTGTATAGAGCTCCCCTCCACTTGCATACTCCATCACTAAATGTAAACGTGACAACGTTTCCACCACCTAAACAGGACAATGACATGTCAAAGTAAAGAAGACTGGACTTTGCCTCGTATTTGTGATCACAGAGTCAAAATTAGACAAACCTCAAAGAGGCGTATGATGTTGGGGTGATGTAGTTTCTCCATGCTTGAGATCTCTCTGGAAAGCAGCCTCTGAGTCTTCTGATCCAACTTGGTTTTGTCTAAGATCTTAATGGCCACTTTGTCTGGTGATACCAAAGGAGAAATTTATGAGCAGTTATATGACAGAACAGCAAACCTTTGAAGAGTCGCTTCATTTTAATTCACTACTTTACATTATAAACTGATTTCCCAAATTCCAATGCAAATTGCACATAAAATAAGACATTTATTACATTAGTTTTAATTTATTATAAATAATTAAAAAATGGGAATCGGATATCCACTTACAAACAGCAGTAAACTGACAATCAGCTCTAACTAATTTTGTGGAGAATTAGCTGCCCTCAGAAACCACTTTTCTTGATTATATTCTTGCATGGGGTGAAATTCAACTTTTAGCACAATCTTATATATAAATTTGCTTTTGACTTTGCACAGAACATGTCTCCAACTCTACGCAGGTAAGTGAAAACGTGGCGATGCCTCGATTAAGATAATGCTGATTTAATTTTAAAAAGGTCTAAATACTGAATAAATATTAAATTCGACTGAATGAGATCTTAACTGTATGCCTTTAAATCATTTATGGACATACACAAAACGGTTCTCAGGTGACTGATTACAGAAAAGTTCTTAAGTAGCAAAATGGTGTTGAGATATCTAATTGTGCTTGAGTATGCATTATTAAGGCTGGTATTGGGCTCTGTTTCAGCTGCAGTCTAGCTATCAATAGGAGCCTTCAAAATGTGTTGCAGCTCATATCGTTTTTAGTCTAGGTTATACTGTTTACTTGCACATAAAGCGTGCTCATTCAATGAAGAAGCCAAAAGTAGCTAAAATGCAACACCTGAACACAAAGTGCACACAAACTAAGAGTTGCACACTCCTTTCTTCTGTCATCTGTAGTCTTTGATGAGGCATGCAGCAATTTTATCTGTGTCTAGGAAAACTTGAGATAGCTAATCAATCCTTTTGGTCAAGGACATCAGAGAGTGTCCTTCTTCATGGCTGAATCAGCCCCCTGACCAGGTGTACATCACATTGTTATTGAATTTCTGCAAAACAATATACATTTTTGCATCAAAGGCCACTGATGGAAATACCATATCATGAAACTATTACCTAATCTAACACAGGAACCTTTGATTCCTTTTAGGAATAATTCTCATTTCAAAACGCCTTGGATCCCAGCAGTTTTAAATTAGGCTAAGCTGTTACATTATGTCATTTTGCTGATGTTTTCAAAAGATATAATGTGTAGTCACATTGATAGTGGGGCTGGTTTTACCTTTGGTGAGAGCATGAATCCCTAGCTTGACATGGGAGAAATTTCCACAGCCGATTTCCCCACGGATCTTGTAGAAGGCAATTCTTCGACCCACTGTCAGCTCACGGACCACCCTGTGACCAGATTACAAAACAGTAGTTGTGACAATAACATTTGACACGATTTAACAGTAAAATCGCCTGAGAAAGAGGACAAAATCATTTCTTACTAAAAATTTCTAGCAAAAGAAATTGCACACCCTTTTTTAAAACAGGTTTTTAAGCCTACCTTTCATCCTGGCACATATCCAGATTGAGCCTTTCCAGTGGAGTGAGGCGGCGGACGGTGGCTCCCTCGTCATCTGTGTTGATGTCCGAGCTGTCTTGGTGGCTCCAGCGACTAAACCTTTGGCCACCAGCAGCTGCGACCGTGCCAGTAGCAGTACTTCCGACAGACTCCCTGGCGTCTGCCTCTGAAACTGAGCAGTTGCCGGTGGCTGCTGCTGTCCCAGCCCGGGCTTCAGTCCCATCAGGGTTGCTCTCAGAAGGGAAGACAGCAGTCATCCTTCAAGAGACGCTCTGGGTGGAGTTGGTCTTAGGTCATAGCGAGGACAGATGCAGAACTGGATGTAAAGAAACGGCAGTCATTTAACCATTTTACACTAAACAAATCTTAACAAAATGGTTCTAACAATTGAATCAAAGCTCAAGTTAATAATACAGAGTAATCCTTGCTGTCAGTCTGTCAAAAAAATTAAAACAAATGTTCCGTAATTCACAACATGCACACAACTTTAACATTTGCTTTCACAAACAGGCAACAAAAAAATCTTCAAATGCTATAAAAATTATAAACACCAAAAAATACCAAATTAAAGTAAATGACAGCGTTAAATGAATGGCCCAGTGTAAAATCTGATCACAAACTGACTGAAACTGGACTTACCTTCAGATTTGCGCTATTTACAAGTTAAAGTATTTTTCTATTCAGCCTGGTCCAAATACTACTGCTGTTTAGACAACTTAGTGTTATTATAAATAACTTAGCTTGTATTTTAAGTTAAAATCTTTATCTAGTCACAGCTAAGGGTCAAGTAGAGGCTTTATCCAAAGTATCCCCAGTACGCTCCAACTGAAGCTGACTGAGCTGTTGGAGCCGTTTAGCATCTGAGGCTTGAAGTCTCCGTGTTGTTGCATTTTTCAAATTTCCACTTGTTCCGTTTTTTGTTGTCGCATTTTTTTGAATTTCTTCCTCCCCTTAGCTGCTGACTGAAAAGATGACGAGTGTAAATATCCAATGAAGCGTGTAGTATCTGATTCATGCTCACCGTTGGTGGTGGGAGCTTTAACTGACTGTTTTGACTCTGCAGGGTATTAATAGGCCACAGGGTGAGGAGGAGGGAAGAGGAGAAGGATGCGGGAGGTTAAAAGAAAGAGGCTGAACAGATGATGGTGAGGAGGGGCAGCCATGGGGTAACTGCCAGGGCAACCTGCAAAGAATCACAAAAGCAATGCAAAATTTAAAAAAAATACACTTTCTATTTTTATCTTGCTATTTATGATATCTGTTTTAATAGTTTTAATAGATTTTTTTGTTTGTTTTTTTGTTCACTACTTATAACACAATTTGAATGAATTTAGTAATTTTTCCATGTTACTCAGGAAGAGTTTGTCTGGACACATTACATGAATAACCATTATCATTTCATCAGCAGAGTATGAGGGATTACTGCCAGTCCCTCCTTTGTTTTAGTGTGTTTGTGTAATGCTTGTGGTTGTATAAGAGTGCAAGCAGGTGATAACTGAATGCTGCTCTGAGAGGAAATCTCTAACAACACCCCATGAGAATAAAAAAAATCAGCAGTGACAATGACTCATGATTATGCAATAATTTCTATGTTCCAAATAAAATTAAATTTACATTTATTGAGCTGCACATTTCAAGATATCAAATTCCCCGATTTGAAAAAAGACTTTAATTAGTTGCAATTTGATGGATTTCTCTTGTTAAATTAGAGAAACATGAGTTATCCAACAATAACTGGGTGTTTACGAACCTTTAAAGTTTGTCATCAAGTATGCTAAAGAGTAGAGTGGAAACAGTAATGAAAACAAATCACTAGGCCTGTCACGATAACAAATTTTGCTGGATGATAAATTGTCCCCGAAAACATTGCACTAAACAATCGAAAATTTTGTTTTGAGACACACACATCACTTACACAGCTTATGGAAGTTTATAAATTTGAGTATGTACAGTGGGTAAAATAAGTATTGAACACGTCACCATTTTTCTCAGTAAATATATTACTAGAGG